ATCCTTACTCGAAGTCTGCTTAGTCATCGAGCATATTTCGGGAACTGACCGTTTAGTTATTTCTAGAATCCTATCTGCAGTAATAGCTAAGTCCTCTATTACAGTACCCTGAAGTGTCACAAGTACGGTCTGTACAGACTGTGGCAGCTTGGTTAAGAAGAGTTCTCTAAACAGTCCTTCGTCGAACTGACTTTGGCCAACGACTTCTCTCATTCTTGTCAGCATGCTCACGGCTGACTGATCTCCTAACTCGATGTTACGAAATAATTCATCTAGACGTTGTCGGTCCGTGAGAACGTTTCTCCTGAGGAGGGATGCTTTGAGCAACTCGTACGAGTTACTTACCTCGGGACTCAACATCTGTGATGTTACGTACTTGCTGAATTCCCGCGGTAGGGCGTGAATAACTGCAAGTAACTGTGAACGTTGATCGGTTATCCCATGCTCACAAAAATCTGCTTCAGCTAGCAGAAACCACGTTTCAGCATTATCTGGCCAGTATGGTACGAGCTGAATGGTTTTAGGAGTTGAGCGGATACGGATGACCTTGGGACTAAGATCACTCATGACGAAAATTATGTCGAATAATATATGGTACAAGAACAAATACAAAATGGAACGAACTCACCGGGGTTATCTGCGGATTTATCGTGGATGAAGTTCGCGGTTGGGCTCACCAGTTTAGAGGTTGACGGAATTATCTTACACAGCAACTTCTAATTTATTCTCGCGTACCAACAACAAAGCAAAAGCCAATATTTGATCGTCCAAACTAAGTGATATATTTCGGGACCAAAACAAGCCTTCAGACGAACGCTTAGCTAGCTAGTGATCGTGCACGTGACACGACAGGGTACCAAATGGCGGGGATGCTTGACCGGAAGCCTTCAGCTAAACAAGTCGACTTAAACAGTGGTGGTCAGCATCCAATGAGTGATTGCTGTGGTCAATAATTTTGGGGAATTATTTACCGCTACAAGTACAGTGACTTCTGTAACTGTGCCAATAAGGCACCCGGTTTGACTGATAAAATCCCGAGTACAGAGTGGGTAGCTGCTGCCACCATCTATGGTCGCCACCAACGCGTGCCAGTGTGGTAGTCTACCATGGTCTCTACATATTCAAAAAAACCACAGGGTTTTTGTCAACATTTAGTTTCCTGGTCGCAGGTGTTTTGATGCCAATACTAAAGTGCATTTTTGTCACTCTATCGCATAGAACTCGGAGGACAATCTGAGATGCTACATTGAAATTGCTTTCTAAGAGAGTCAGGAGGATCACCGGGGCTAGTTAACTTAAAAAATCTTTTGGTTGAGCTACATAAATCTGTTATTCCGGAGTCAAAACCTGGAGATCATGTACATATTGAGCGAACTTCAGTGGGTGTACACGCAGTATTTCAAGAATTCTGTCAGTCTACGTGACTAAGTCTTCAATGGCGACTCCTTGAAGTATGACAAACATAGTCTGTGCTGTCTATGACCACGGGTATAAAAAATTTTCTTAAGAGTCCCTCGTCGTATTCCCGTTGGCGGATGACTTCATGCCTTGGTGAAACCATGTGTACTGTTGTAATACCGCTTAACTTGACATTGCAAAAGTGACCATCATGACGCCAGGGATTCGAATGATCGTTCCTCTTCAGGGCTACTTATTTAAGAGCATCGCAAAGGTTACCCACAGTTGGAATGAACGCATGTGGAACAACACATATGTACGATTCCCGCTTTAGAGGATGTGTAAACACTGGGAGTTATAAACGTGGGTTAGTTACCCCATGTTCACGAAAATTGGGCTTATAGTATAGAAACTATGTGGCCAAAAGGACATTACCTGATTTGAAATGCTAGTAAGTCGATAGGTGTAAGTTTTGGTGTCTGGTCATACGTTGCAAAAACAGTTTATGAATAAATATAGTAAAGATATAGAATGAACAGAAACAAAATGCAACGAACTCACTGAAAATGAGTGAAGTTCGTCTGCGTCTCACCAATTTAGAAGAAATGTCGACGGCCACACAAGATACACTGTATTATAGTGCTGGTGTTTATCCACTGGTGCTTGACCGCCACTTGTATGTAAAATTCATTGCACAAATGAAACTGAACTTGTGTATGCAGCAAAAAAACCATTGTTACTGCAACTTTGCCATAGTGATGAACTAGTTTGTGTTATATTGTGGCCAGTGCTACTGGTAAGATTTATCAGTAGTATATAAAGAAACGCTCATCAACATAAAAATATCAAATAATAAGGAAATAGACTTGATATCAAACAAAGCGAATGATTCAGCGTCGTGGAGGAGCATGGGAGACGTGAAGAGGAAGACAAAGAAACGCAATATGAAGGACAGAAGTAGCACAACACGAAAGATCTGTTTGAATGACGGCTTTAAGATAATGTGTACATAATTTCGCTACACAGCTATACTAAATTCCCAGTCACTCGTGGTTATAACATCACTTTCCACCATAATTAGTTTTTCACAAAGTAACTTCAGAGAGTCTTTATTTTCGTCATTACCCCCAATATTAACCTTATTATTTTTTATTTCTACCCGACTAAATTACTGACTTTTATATAACATGTGTTGCCAAATTTATACCTCCTACTAATTTCCAACTTCTTTTCTTAACTCTGCAAATACTCAAAAAAAAGCTAAAAAATACCTTCGATCTTTTTCATTCTACTAGTGACTTATAAAATTAAAGTGTGGGAATACGTTTTAAGTGAATGTCAAATTCGTCTCGTATTATATGCAGCTAACGAAACAAATTGATATCGTGTCTTGCGGCTCAGTCTGGTATTTTTGCTTTATTCCATTCCATCGAGGGAAAGAATTGCAGGAATCAATAGCTGGAGACTGTTGAGGACATGGATCAAAATCTTTCAAAACAGAGCTGAAGTATTTCTCTCTTATATTCTGAAACTCCACTGAGTAATTCTTCCTCTTGTACGCCTTTGCCCACTGAAGTTTCTTCACATTCTTTCTCTTCAGCTTCGTTGTGAGTTTCTCTGGAATGTGACAACTTGAAATAATGCACTTTATACAATGTTATTATTTGTTAATTCACTCTTGATATGTCTTCTTTGCCTGTTTTGACAAAATAATCTTGCTTCAACTAATGTTGGAAATACTTTGAAAGTAAATTAGTCTAAATGCAAGTTTCCATATTTTTATGTCCTTTCAAACTATTAAATTATTTATTCCACACTATTCTATGTTTCTGGCAATAGCGTTGTGATTAAAATAACTCAGCTTAACTGATTAAGGCTGCAGAACAAATTCTTCAAGACTATTTGTATCGATTTTGGAAATATAATGTGACCAAACTTGGGATTAAGGAGAGTGGACAAAAATGTACTCGGTCATCATCTTTTTCTGAAACATTAGCATTATAATGCATATTATTTGTCAGTTTACTTTCCGTTTATTCATGTTTTTCCGATATATTCTAGTTTCCATCTCTTAATAAATTTCTCACTTTGTAATATATTAGATTGACAGAATCTGAACCAGTAGATTTTGAGATTTTATGATGATTCATCCAGCAAAATATGATTTATTATTTAACTGAACGATCAACCTATATAATTTATCATATTTTTTTCGATTTTCCTCACAGCAAAACGCAGTATTATTCCTACATGAAACTGTCATCTATATTAGACTACTATTAGCTACTTTCCATTGTTTATATATATATATATATATATAATGACAGACAGATCCCAAGGACTCAGGCAATAATCTAGAGTAAGATTAGTTCCAAGAAAAATAAATGATGGGTATATCAGAATACAAACAGAGAGATAAGTAAAAGTAAAGTTTTGCAGAGCATTAAGTCACTGCGTAACAATTCGAAGCAGATCAGGGGACTTGTTTAAAACCTCAAAGATGATGAAAAGCAAATATTTTTCGGCCACTGGGCGTGACGTTAAGTGGTGTCAATAAGATTATCCAACACAAGGATTCAAGCCAGCTGATTACACCACTTTTTTGTGACGCTGTGAACTTCATTCATTAGTGACACAATGTGGTCTTTAACTTTTTTCTAACCAAATCCTATTTCACTTACAATAGAATTTAGTGGAAAGTATAGGTTTGCCAGGCGTGACATATGTCCTAGGGATCTTACTTAATGAATGTTTATGACCACATCAATTGATTTACCTTCCTTACCTAATGATGTATGTCAAATTTGAAAATTACCGTTTAAAGAAAGGTACCTATACTCAAAAACTTATAAGCTTTCATACAGGCCAACCTAAAGAATAGCGAGCACGGAGTGTGAACTCACCAATGATCTTCAACGCATACCTTTATTTGGATTACAGAGCCAGAGGGAACGCCTTGCATGAATTGACGTGCAAATTCTATCCTGATCTCATTTTTAAGTTTTGTTTGGACAGTAAGTAAACAGCACGTTAGGGTGTTTAATTATTATCATCAGTATTTTTCTTATAGATAAATAAGAGGAAGAAGAGTGTGGCGTTGTTCATATAGATGAAATTATTTTGAAAGCTATGAAACTTGAAATCTGATACCCATCATTGTAAGTGGGAATCAGTTTTCAGTTACGTCAAGGCAAAATGTCGTCTTTAATGTGTTTCATTATTATTATTATTATTATTATTATGTCAATTTCTTTCGTAAAACAGCATTTTGGTGGGGGCGATACACAGCAGACCCTGTACACCGACGAATGGTATGCGTTCCATGTCATCGGTGAGTTCATACACCCTGGTCACTATTCTTTATACGCTTTACTTTCACAGACTAAATTTCACAGCTGTCAATTAAAGCAGAACTATCAGCTACAGGAAAATGATGAGAGCGCTGACAAATTTCAGACAGCGTAGTACAGTGTAAAGATGTCTTTTCAATGAATCAACTTTCTGAAACTTCCTGTTAATAATATCCAGAATTCAAGATAGTTTCTGTATTTATCACAAATGATGACCACTTGAATAAGATAGAAATTTACAGTCAAAGTTATTATTATTATTAAAGCGTCCCATAGATTATGCAGTAGAAGAAATCCCTTGGTTATTCTGTAACTCCTTGTCCATAATAAGTCTTAATGTATTTGTAAAATCCTCCCCTTTTCTCTTTCTATTCCCCTGTCGATTTGATTTTAACTTGCTAACAATTGTGTAAACACTGGAAAGTCGTGCATCACTCTAGTGCTTTAAGCGAATATTTCATTGTGATATTTTTAATCCTGTTTCAATAGTTAATATTAGCAATGGTAATAATAGGGATAACTCAAATGTAATTACAAAATTTCATGCAGATATGCATAAAGTATATTAATTATTGATACTTTCCTTGTAGATATCATTACTTTCTCCACTACTTTTTATTGGTAATTTGTTTACAAATTAATTATTTAAAAGTATTAAGCACAAATTACACTATCACCAATCTCAGAAACTTCATTAGGTTTACGAACTCTGATATTTGGACCTAGCATATCATGAACCCATTCTTCCCATGGGACAATTATCTGTTTAGGTGGAACGAGTATACGTGCTGGTTTATGTGGATCTTTCGGATACCATATCAATGATTGTGCAGCATTACAATGTGGTGGGAATGTTGCAGCAATTGGCAATTTATATGATTTATCTGGATCCATCATAATAACTCCACTATCCTGTACATCATAAATTTTTCGTACTCGACTACCTAATGGCATAAAAGGATCAACTTTCATGTGTAAATCATACTCCCACCGTATCTTTTTCAGTACAGTAATTTCATCTTTACATGAAAACTTTTTACCATATTTGATAGCTACTAACCAAATTAAAAATTTCTGTTGTCTGTTAATTTCAGTTAAGCGTACACCACCAGAAAAAGGTAGTTCCCAGACGACAGATGGATGAAAATAATCCTTTACGTGCAAATTTAGTGTTAATTTTCTCACAGGACCTTTTTTAATATTATACAAACTTTGATTAACGCTGTAAAATGGATATTGTCGTCCATCACTATCATTTATTAATCTTCTCAGACCACTTTTTAATGGATGAAATTCCCATAGTGATTTGCCAACTCCGTCATAATCATTAGCTAAATACATGTAGTCACATGCTTGAACTAGACCGATAGTCCAATCACGATCAGATGTACATGTGGGTATTTCTATTTCAACCTTACAATAAAATGTTTGAGTTTTGTAGTAAAGCATAGAATCAGTCTCCTCGACTTCTGTGCCTGTTGTATCATCATAATAAGCTCGGATTCCTTTGATGCGAAATTTGTCTATTGTCAATTTGTTCATCTAATGGTCTGAACATAGATTCAATTCTCTCCCTACGACTAGTTTGTACAGAATAAAAGTTAATTTTTAATAATTATATAGAACAATAAATTCCAGGTAGATTCCATATATCTGAAGATCAGTATGTTTGACTTCAAAATAAACATCCAGTTAACCGATTGGCACTTTAAGGAATCATCAACAGGCTTAAGTATACAGGCACTCTTATTTTACCATTGAGCATTAGCCTGATAATTTTAAATAATTGAATATCGATTTTTCTATGTGCATCAAGGCTCAGAAGAATAAAGTCATTATTGTAAAACAATAACTGTAAACTTACTTGTTGGAACAGCGTTACTCAGAAATTTGTAAGTTACTGGAGATTTTATATTTAAAACAAGCAAGGACTGTGGAAAAAAGCAGTATTTATTGAATACATAGATTTCGGTATGACTCGTCAGCTGAACACTCTAGAAACATTGTTATCTATACAATTTTTCAAAAATGTTAAATACATATAAACATATGAACAGTGTAACAAAAGATATAAATTTCAACAAATATACGCTCTATTAATCGTTAAGTGATAATCTGTTAACGTCACTATTAAGTGAAAAATATTCATCATGAATAAAACTTTCATTTCTCTGGTGTTTCTGGCCAGGAAGTGGTAGAATTTGTTGTAATTGTTGTACTTTCGAACACTGGTCCTGTGGATATAATCTTATTGACTATTACTACCTATAACTAACTCTTTGTCAGTGTATGACTGTCAAGCACATCAAGTGGATATATCTGCGGCAGTTAAACATTGCATCACATTCTCAACTCCAAACTGGTGAAATCTATCTTAACCTGTCTTGTTTTCGAAAATTGATTCTGTGGATATAAATTTCCAATTTGTGACTGTTAAACACGTTCAGCGGATACCTATGACTAACTAATATATATATATATATAATTAGTAGACAGAAGACAAGTAGTTCAGCGAAGAGTCTCTTTTCGGCGAATTCATTTTCATAGCTGTACAATCGCAAATATATATGGTTATTTTGTGTGTGTGTATACATTAAATTTGTCAAACGAAAATACAATTAGTAGGTTCAGATGTATTGGATGTTGATAAGAGGATAGCAACAAAAGTGATGAGCACTTTTACTCGCATGGTAACTACTCCTTTGATTTGACCTAACTTTTCTTTGTTTGTTTGATTTGACCTTACTTCTGTTTGTATGCTTATTTTTCTAACTTAAAACCCTTGTGTAATTCTGTATATTATTTTGTTTCCATGTACACCCTTTGAGCACAACTCATTCATCAAACTATTCATGCCATTACGTAACTCTTATTTAACAATCATTTATGACAACTCATCACTTTTGTTGCTATCCTCTTATCAACATCCAATACATCTGAACCTACTAATTGTATTTTCGTTTGACAAATTTAATGTATACACACACACACAAAATAACCATATATATTTGCGATTGTACAGCTATGAAAATGAATTCGCCGAAAAGAGACTCTTCGCTGAACTACTTGTCTTCTGTCTACTAATGTTCGAATGGGAATTATTCATGAATATATATAATTGTATTTAGATGCTGAAGTCAGTGAGTTTCTGGTTTACGTGTTATTTTGGTAATTGTATTTGACAGTGACATTTTTGCTACGGTTGTTGTCCTCGTCTCTGCCTTTCCCGTTGTGATTCTTTTTACTGTTGTTCTGATTGCTGTATTGCTTATTTTCCTGACTCTAAACGGAACAACCCAAAAATTTGCTCCTCTGTAACTTACATCCCTATGTAACAACTCCCTATGATAATGTAACTAATGCCAATGAAGGCCCTGATACAGTGGAAAACGATATTGTTCAGGATAATGACCGCCAGATTCAACTCAAAAGGAAGGGGAGTGACAATTATACAATGCTATGCTCCCACAAACAATGCAGACTTTGAAAAGAAAGAAGATATCTACGGGCAACAATGGACAATACTCAAGTCGGCGACATTAAAATCCTAATGGGAGACATGAACGCCAAACTGGGGCCAGGCAACACAGGAAAAGAGCTCATTATGGGTAGAGAAGCACTTAGAGAGGTGAATGAAAACGGTGAACTCTTTGTTGACTCTGTACCTTCAATGAACTAGCGATTGTGGCAGCGTATACAGACACGAGGATATCCACAAGGCTACATGGGTGTCACCATATGGGCGAAGGAAAATCCAAATTGATTTCATCTCAAGGAAGTGAAGACGCAGCTTACTGGACACAAAGTAAGAAGAGGAGCACACATATGCTCAGACCACAATCTTGTGCAAGGAACACTCCAAACCAAATTAAAAACTCTCAAGAAAACGTGAGCTGCAGATAGACTACAAGCCAAGTTCAATACTCAAAAACTGAAGGATCAGGCCACAAAGGAGATTTTCACTGCAAGCATAAGGAAGAAGGTGAAGACACAAATCAACACTAACGAAGAGACCAGCGTTGAAAATCACCGGGAAAACATGAAAGCGATGTGGAGTCAAACCTGCATGGAAGTCCTAGGCAGAAAGAAGAAACAGGACAAGCAGTGGCTCACTACAGATACATGGAGACTAATAGAAGACAGAAGGACGGTGAAACAAAAGATTATTCAGTGCATCGACGAGCAACAAAAACAGGAGTTGAATGCAAGCTACAATACACTGAAAAAAAGAGTAAAGAAGAGTGCCAGGGAGGACAAAAGGAAATATTATGAAGCCATGTGAAGTGAAGCAGAACAAGCTGCAGGCAAAGGAGACCTCGCCACACTCTACCAAACAACTAGGAACCTATCGGGAAAAGTTCGACACAGATTAAGCCAGTGAAGGATGCAAATCGAGAATCAATCACCAAAGAAGTGGAGCAGAGGAAAGACTGGGCTGAACACTTCAAAAGACTTCTAAATCGACTGCCACCTACAATGCGCCCAACAATACCAACAGCAAAAGCAGAACTACCAGTGAACATCGACCCCTAGACGAGAACAGAAATCCTGGAGGCAATCAAGATGCTTAAAGCTGGAAAAGCAGCAGGTCCAGACGGAATCCCAGCAGAGGCATTGAAAATGGATCCCTAGATATCAGCGAACTTGAGACACCACTACTGGAGAAGGTGTCGGAACAGGGTAAGATACCTGAGGATTCGAAGCAAGACTACTTATATAAAGTGGCAATGAATGGAGATTTATGTCAATCCAAGAACTGGTGCGGCATTATGCTCCTGTCTATCCCAAGCGAAATACTAAGCCGTATCATCCTAGAAGAATAAAATACACCCTGGATGAAAAACTTTGATCGAAACAGGCTGGATTCGGGAGAAACAAGTCATGCATCGCTTAAATCACAACACTACGTATCATCACTGAACAGAGCTTGGAATCGCAGTCAGCTCTCTACCTCAACTTCATCGATTTTGAAAAGGCATTCGACAGCATCGATTGAGAGGTGATTTGGCAACTACTTTGCTGCTACGGGGTGCCGCCAACAATTATACATCCCATCCAACAGTTGTACGACAATGCTGCATGCCAAGTAATCGACAGCGGGAAACTCACGAAATCCTTTGAAGTGAAGACGGTAGTAAGAAAAGGCTGTCATCATGGATTGATGTCAAGTTTCTTTATCTTATTATATTAATATATTTGTAAAACATGGTCACTATGGTAGTAGTAAGTAATTCCATATTAGTCTGTTTATTAGATGTATCACACAGTCAGTGAAACAGTACTAGTATTTACTGGATGACAAAGTTTCGAACGCAATTCATTATTGTTCATAATCATAGCGGTCACTTATAATCATACGACTTCGAAACTTGAGTTTTATAGTTTTCTTTGTCCTCTCCTATTTGTCATCGTCGTTGGGGGTAGTAGAATTTTCCAGATATCTGGCTGGACAGGTGTTGAATCATTCCTATTACACGTATTCTCTTCAGTTGATTCGAACCTCGGAAAAGTTACAGTGGAGAATTCTTAACAATGCTGGCACGAATAAAAGTGGCTGACATTCAATTTAACCACAAACTCAATTAGAAACAAGCTTTGTCGGTGAAGGGATCAGTCATGTGGAGCCTTTAAAACAAAACAATTTAGTTTGTCTAATACCCTACCTGCAATGATTGTCAGGTCAAACACATAGGTCAAACTAGTAGAACAGGGGCAGTCAGTCAGACTAGCCGAACATAAAAACCTAGCAGCAAAATCTATATTGGTTGACCCGAATAAGATAAGAAATCTAGAGAAAAGTTTAGCTATCGCAAGCACTACATGCAATTACACACGACCATACAATACACAGGATGGGATAGGATGACAGACTTAAATTCTGATGTCACAGGGTGTATGGAGGGAGAGATTGATAACAGAAGTTTTGTTTATCGAATCAACTGCAAATCAACACGTGTGATAGGAATGATTCAACACCTGTCCAGCCAGATATCTGGAAAATTCTACTACCCCCAACGACGATGACAAATAGGAGAGGACAAAGAAAACTATAAAACTCAAGTTTCGAAGTCGTATGATTATAAGTGACCGCTATGATTATGAACAATAATGAATTGCGTTCGAAACTTTGTCATCCAGTAAATACTAGTACTGTTTCACTGACTGTGTGATACATCTGATAAACAGACTAATATGGAATTACTTACTACTACCACAGTGATCAAGTTTTACACATAAACCCAGGCGATTTGAATTTCTCAATGAATGAAAATCAAAACGATATTGTTTTTACTTACGTTTCGCTATTTAATGCTGACGGTGCTGCTAATAGCTTTATCAAAGCAGTATTATTAAAACAGAGTGATTTACAAAACTCACTCAGCTTATATATAACAAAGAGCTAAGTGGTGGGTGAGAAAATAGACTACTTAGGTCAAGTTACAAGGAGGACATATTGAAAGTCAAAATAACAATGAAGATCAATCACTAGATCAAATAATAGAGGCAATAGTACATCTGTTATGATATCAAAACAAAGTTTACTAACTTGATCATCGTTCGTCAGTCTGGAGTCATTTTTCGTTGTCAAGTTGGCCAATTGGTAAAGATAACAAAATCAAGTGTAGATTGTTGGATTTGATCATTGTGTAAAATTGTAAAAACAGCGTGATTTTATATAATGATATTACTTTGACATTCGGGTTGATTTTATCGCTTTA